TCACCTTTGGTAAAAAGTATTTCAAACAGGACAAAAGATATAAATAAAAACCATTTATCTCCCTCTGGCTCCCCAGTTCCTCTTTCCAGCATTATTCCAGAAATATTCTATGCATAGAGAAGCCTATGAATCTTTTATTTTAAAAAAAACACAAATGGTAACTCACATACACACATGAATAAATATATAAATATATCTTATTTTTTTAGACTATTTTGTTAACTGTATTATAGATATTCCCCATTTTACTGTAACAACAAATCTTGGAGATTTTTATTAGCACAAATAGCTCTATCGTATTATATTGTATTATTTTTAACGTCTGCAAAATATTCCATTTTATGAGTGTGCCCTAATCTATTTTAATAGTCTACTCTTGATGGAAACTGAGATCATTTCCAACCTTTCACTATTACATGTTCATGTCTTTGCATATAAATAGTTTATCAGCAGAATAAAGTCTAGAAGTGAAATTGTTGTGTCTATTGGTAAATGCATTTTAGATTTTGATAGATACTGCCAACTGTCTTCCAAAGAGTTTGTACTGACTTGCACTCTCACTAAAAGTGCTTGAGGGCCTGTTTTACATACTCTCATCTGTCCTGTGAAATTAATATTTTGTCTTTTCATTCATGTTGGGTAAAAGTATTATTTTATTTTTGTTTATTTTTATTTATTTAATGTACAATAATGACATCTATTGAGCATTTCTTTTGTGCAATGCATTATTCTAAGTGCTTTATGTTATTAACTTAATTTAGCAATCCTATGAGATAAGTAGTGTTGTTATTCTCTTTTCATGAAACATGAGACACAGAGGGGGTAATTTACTTGCCCAAGATTATGTAGATAGTGGCTAACAGGACTGGATTCAACCAAATTAGTGGGTTGTATGACTCCAGAGCCTGTGCTCTTCATTGCTAAGTTATAATCTGAATAACTGCCAATATTTATCTTCTATTACATATGAACTATCTGTCATGGCCTTTGCATAGTTGTCTTATTGATTTCTAGGTACTCTTTACACATTCGGGAAATTGGCCCTTTGTCATATGTTTTAAATATATTTACAGTCTGTATTTTTGATACTGTTTATGTTTCTTTTTGCATAAAGACATATTGAGTTTTGATGCAGTTGAATTTTCAATCTTTTCTTTTGATCATTAAGTTTTATTACTAGTTTAGGTCTTTCTCACTCCAAGATTATAAAAATATTTTTCTATGTTTTTGTCTCATACTTTTAAATTTCATTTGAAACTTTGATCCTTCTGGGTTTCATTTTGGGATCAAGAGTGAAGACAGATCTCAATCCTATATAATAAAAGCCTAATATGCTAAGTGTCTGGTCTTGTGGTCAGTTGTTCAACCAATCAATGCGTAATATGCTAACAATATGCTAAGGCCACTCAATTGCATGCTATGACATGCACTGACCACCAGGGGGCAGACACTTAATGCAGGAGCTGCCCCCTGGTGGTCAGTGCACTCCCATAGGGGGAGCGCTGCTCAGCCAGAAGCCTTGAGCTGGGCTCACCGCTGGCGAGCGCAGCAGTGGTGGTGGGAGCCTCTCCTGCCTCCGCAGCAGTGCTAAGGATGTCCGACTGTTGGACATCCCCCGAGGGCTCCTGGACTGTGAGAGTGACCCCCCCCCCCGAGTGCATGAATTTTGTGCACTGGGCCTCTAGTTTTTATATATTGATTTTTATTAGATATAATTGCATCTTTTGACATATACATAAATATAAACCCACTAAATAAAAAATATAAAGCATAAAAATATATATATACACAACTGCATGCCCAAGATACACCTATTCATACATATATTGATATGAACAAATTCATACATAGAAATAAAATTTATGCAAGTGCAAATATAGGAAAGAAAATATAGTTATATGTCCCTGAACATTTGAATACTTAGAGGAAGTCCATTCTTAATATAATGCCAGATATGAGTGAGATTTGGTTGCTGTTGACTTGGGATATGCCCAGTTTTTCTTAATGGAACATTAAAAAATTTTACGGTTGGATCCTACACTGCACATCAATATATTTATATATGAAAAGCATTCCATAAAAATTGGTTCAACTTCCTATTTATACTTCTTGTCTTTGTAGCAAAGGAAGAAAGCAGGTCAACAAGAGTCACATAAAGAAAAGCTAAAATCATGGGCTAGGATTTATGCAGGGCCTCTTTCCCACCTGTAGAGGAAACCAGTCATATCTTAGCTGTTTCCAGATCCACAGCTATGCTGCCTTTTCATTTCTTGCTATAAAAGTTAATTACGAATTTTGATCTTCCTATTTTGAAGGAAAATGAAAGAAGAATGTCCGGGTCTAAGCCAGTTCTTCTCAACCAGGGGAAGTTTTCCCCCTCGAGGATATTTGCCAGTGTCTGGAGTCATTTCTGGTAGTCCCAGCTGGAAATGGGCCAGCTACTACTACCACCGAGGGGGTAGAAGCCAAAGGTGCTGTTATCTACAGTCCACAGGATAGCCTCCCCACCTCTCCAAAGAGCATAGTCTTGTCCAAACAGTGTTCAGAAACCCTGGTTCAGGTCCAGGCAGGAAAATTAGAACCCTGGGTGAAGTGTTAACTTATAGGGAGAGGAGTACAATGTTATAAAAGAAAAGGTCTTGATACTAACTCAACACAAACACATTCCAGGATTTTGGTGGCTATTTTCTTTTTACATAATCAGTGAACAAGCAGACAGGTCAATGGACTTTTCATTTCCTTTGCAAATGTTACTAACATTTATTATGCAGTATAGGAAGCCTGATAATTTTTGAATGATTTTCTTGAAATCTACCTAGTTGCTCTTGTTTATAACCTTCAAATATCTGCATTGTCTTTTTGTGTAGTTTTCTATTAGG